AACATGGAGAACATGGCCAACCTTCCATTCTTGAGCTCCTTCACCTTGAGCTCGGCAAAGGCTTCTGGGTCGTCAGCAAGGCCCAAGGGGTCGAAGCTTCCGCCGGGGTAAAGGGGGTCGGTCACCTCTCCGAGGGGTCCGCCGGCAATTCTGTATCCCTCAACTGCTCCCATCAACACAACTTGGGTAGCCCAGATGGCCAAGATGCTCTGTGCATGGACCAAGCTAGGGTTTCCCAGGTAGTCGAGACCGCCCTCGCTGAAGATCTGGGCTCCGGCCTTGAACCACACAGCCTCGCCGAACTTGACACCGTTGCGGGACAAGAGCTCGGGGAAAACGCATCCAAGAGCTCCGAGCATGGCCCATCTGGAGTGGATCACTTCGAGCTCACGGTTCTTGGCGAAGGTCTCTGGGTCGGCTGAGAGTCCAGCGGTGTCCCAGCCGTAGTCACCGGGGAACTCGCCCTTGAGGTAGCTTGGGGGCTCACCGGAGAATGGGCCTAAGTACTTGACTCTGTCAGGGCCATACCAAGGGCTGCCAGAGGAAACTTGTTTGGTAGCAGTTTTCCTCATGGACACTCTTCCGTTTCCGAAAAGCTCGGTGGCTCCCGGGGAAAGTTGCACGGCTTTGCCGGCGAAGGTTGGGGAAGAGAGAGCCATGGAAGCAGCCATTGCAAAACTAATTTTGATACAAGTAGAAGGAAAAAACAGTTGAGGGAAGAGAGGATGATGGGTGGTTGTGATTGACTTCATGGCTTATATAGATCAGTGCCCTTATCCTAGAAAATCAACATCTTAATTCTCATTGGTTGTGAGATTTTGATGGTGGATTTTCCTTGTCTGGTTGGCACCCTCTACCACCAGTACCAACAGTCGTTGGATTATACAGTTTGGACTTTGAGACCTTAATTAGTGACCGGAAATTCGAGTCTTTAGTTTGTGCGATGAGAAATCGAAGCCCTTGATTTATGTGATGAGGTAGGCCAACAGAAGAAGTTAAGTTAATAGAACCGTCAGATAGTCTAGATTGGCTAATTGATTCGTAGTGGATCTCTGTCCAGTGTTTGAAAAATCTAAAGACATGCATGGGCACCACTAGTTTGTCTAATCCGGCATTGCCAATTGTTCCAATTGGATAGGCTTTCTGTGCTTGGAGATGGTAGAGGATTTCCTCTGTAGGACCAAACCCTAATTCTACCATGCAAATGTACACCTACGTGTTTCCAAATTCTGGACCTCTCAGAATATTGCTGCATTGCTAGGCATGAATTAATGAAGCCACTTCCAATGGCTGCCAATCAACTAGCCAAATTAATAAGTAAATAAAAAATAAAAACTAGTCAAATAATATGTTTCTATAGCCAGCTGCAGAATTTTCACGATAACCCTTTTGTTCTGAAATCATGTTTCCTACTTTAATAGGAGACAACTTCAAATTGTATATATATATTTTTTAAGAATAAGATCCCATATCGATCATATTAGATAAAATAATATATAAATATATGTGAGTTTTCATTTGTAATATCATCGAAACTATTTGTGATAAAACTCATACCTAATAATAAGTGATTAAACTAAGACAATATTAATAATATTAAATGAATACCGATCTACCAGCCTCTCGAAAAAAATACCGTTAGTTTTGGTATAATGGCTTGCTTCCAAATTTTATGCGGTTCGTTAAAATAAGTTGGGAAGTGGACCAAGATTAACACAAAGATTTTTTCTTCTTCTGCAGAGATATTTTTCTCTCACACCCTCTGCCCACCACTCGATTTTTCATTAACTTTTTTCTGAAGGTTACCATATAATCAAGGGAACTTTAACGAAAAGCTCCCGCTACTGTTCACTTTAACGAAAAACCACATTTTTACACTAAAAGTCAATCCTTTACTTTACCTTTCTGTCCTTATCGTTAAAACTCAAAGTTCTCAAGCCCTTTTCATTAGTTTTCCTTATAATCAACCCTAACATATTCGACAGACGTTGATAAGGCATTCTCACGACTCCTATCTGTAACGCTCCAGCGACATTAATTACTTTTTTTAGATTTTAATTTTACCATAATTCATACTATATCTTATCGAATGCACCAACGTACCAAAAAAAATTTCAATATGGTTGGAATGTGAGTTAGTAAACTACATGTTCCTATACAAATGATTAAATATTTGTATAAGAAATTAAGAACTTGAAAAATACAACTTTTCTTTATATATAACACATAATGTAGTACCGTTCCGGAAAGTAAAAAATTTCTCCAACTACCAGCTTGTAGATTTTTTTCAAGATTGTTAGAGAGTGTCAGTGGCACATTGGTTATACGCCAGGGATTGAATTTGAGGACGTGGTGGATTAGAGAGACAGACATGTGGCAAACGAAAACAAGAGAAAAATCTTGGCAGCCCAATGAGATTAAAGCTTTAGATAGCATAAGATAAAGGGAACTTTAACGAAAAACTCGGTACTGTTTATTTTAACGAAAAATTATATTTTTACACTAAAAAGTTAATTCTGGTACTATTCACTTTACCCTTTATGTTGTCCTTATCATTAAAACTCAAAGTTTTCAAGCCATTTTCATTAGTTTTCTGAAGATAAATGGCTTTGATAGCTAACGCACCATAAATGCGAATTAACTTCACCAACCATCAATCAAGCCTCAATTCTCTCTTTCAACCATGGCTGCTTCCACAATGGCTCTCTCCTCCCCAACCTTCGCCGGCAAAGCCGTGCAACTTTCCCCGGGAGCCACCGAGCTTTTCGGAAACGGAAGAGTGTCCATGAGGAAAACTGCTACCAAACAAGTTTCCTCTGGCAGCCCATGGTACGGCCCTGACAGAGTCAAATACTTGGGCCCATTCTCCGGTGAGCCCCCAAGCTACCTCAAGGGCGAGTTCCCCGGTGACTACGGCTGGGACACCGCTGGACTCTCAGCCGACCCAGAGACCTTCGCCAAGAACCGTGAGCTCGAAGTGATCCACTCCAGATGGGCCATGCTCGGAGCTCTTGGATGCGTTTTCCCCGAGCTCTTGTCCCGCAACGGTGTCAAGTTCGGCGAGGCTGTGTGGTTCAAGGCCGGAGCCCAGATCTTCAGCGAGGGCGGTCTCGACTACCTGGGAAAAACCCTAGCTGGTCCATGCACAGAGCAATCTTGGCCATCTGGGCTACCCAAGTTGTGTTGATGGGAGCGGCTTGAGGATACAGAATTGCCGGCGGACCCCTCGGAGAGGTGACCGACCCCCTTTACCCCGGCGGAAGCTTCGACCCCTTGGGCCTTGCTGACGACCCAGAAGCCTTTGCCGAGCTCAAGGTGAAGGAGCTCAAGAATGGAAGATTGGCAATGTTCTCCATGTTTGGATTCTTTGTCCAGGCCATCGTCACCGGAAAGGGACCATTGGAGAATCTTGCCGACCACCTTGCAGACCCAGTTGCCAACAATGCCTGGAACTACGCCACAAACTTTGTACCCGGAAAGTGAGTGAGAGTATGAGAAGTGTTGAAGACATGTTGCGAGTCCCTTTAATTGAGTGTGGATTTGAGTGGGGAAATTTGTTCATGTTGTAGATTGGTGGGCGAACCCTAGTGCACAAAAATGTGAATTATCTATTTATGTAATGCTGAATTTGAATGGAGTAAATTTCTCAATTTTTTTCAACATTTGTCAAATATATCTGCCGTTTGTTTATTTGGAGGATATTCTAATCTAATTAATCTAAGTTACAACATTCGAGCAAATGTGGCTTAAGTTACTAGTTGGCTAGTAAAATGTAACTTGCTCCTAACTCTTGTCTCCTGGATTAATTTGTACTAATTAATAAAACACTTATTGTCAATCAAGATCTTATAAAATTATCAGTTTAACCTTCTAATTGAAATAGAACATGAATAAGAAATATGGGGCAAAAATGTAATTTCACACAACCAAATTTTGCTATTTTTTTTTCTCAAAGCCTCCCCTGCATGTAATCCTAACATATCTCTAATTTTAAAAAAAAAAACTTCTCACTCCCACATTCTCTATCACTTTTCTTCCTTTCTCATTCTAATTCAAAAACAAAAATAAAAAATTTTCTCACACACTTTGTGTGTGCCCAGCTAGTGTAGTTTAAGATAACGCGCGCATTCTGCAATTATGTTTATACACTCTGGTATGAGTTCGGTCCCACTAAATTTTATCCTTCTAACCATTTATTACCTAATCCACTAATGCTAACGCTCTTCTAAAAAAAAAAAATATCCTCTTGGAAAAAATATCTTACTGTACTGTTATTGTTAAGTGATTCGGAGCAGAGGGCACTGCCTAACGAATTTAGCTACATTAAAAGGATAAGAGCAATACTAGAGAGATTAAATTTGCATATTAAATGATATGTCATCAATAAGAATGAACACGTTTATCAACCGTTAAGTAATAACCAATTATTAACTTCTATATACTTTAATTTTTAAAATTTTGTCTACTAATGTAGTCTCCTTAACATTATCATTTAATTAGTTGCGATTACATTTTTCTATTGGTATTGTCAGAGAGATTATATTTTCTAAACTACATTAAGTAAGGAGAGATTCTTTTAGTGTGGCGGGAATATAGCTCGAAATATTAAGTGTCTTTACAATTGATTAGAAACTTAAAAAAAAAATTAATCAATTGTATTATGACACTTCGAATTTCTGCTCGTGTTCCTGACACCCCAATTTTTTTTTTGTAGACAGGTTCACTATATAAGAGCTCATTTGGATGTGTTTTTACAATGATTGAAAGCGTTCTTAATGAAAATATTTTTAGAACCAATTTTTAGTAAATATGCAAATAAATCCTGGAAAAGCACTTAAAGTGCTTTCTGGAAGACTTCTTGTAGAAAGTACTTCAAGTACTTTTGGAACCCAAAATTATTTTATCTAAAAACGTTTTCAATCATTTTAAAAGAATATTAAAACGAACCCTAAACAGGGACCTCTTGTATTTGAGAGATGATATAAGGGTAATTTACAAATTGCAGTCTGCCTAGCAATATTTTTTTTAAATTTTTATCGGTACTATATAAGCTATCAAGTATGAACCCTCTGAAACACAAGTCAAACATGAAAGATGGACGGTCACCAGCGTCTCTGCACTCCAATTTCTTCTCCTCCCTGAAACAGGTTCATCTATTTCTCTGTTTCCCAGATTTTTTACATTACTTTATGGATTTAGTTTAGTGTGTTTCTTGGTCTTGAATTTGTTTTTCTTTTCTTGGTATTTAATTCCATAGGTTGAGAAGAGACTGAAATTAGAGAACCCAGAAAAAAAATCCAGTATTTCGCCATCACCATTGTTACAAAGCAACAAGCTTTTAACAGAAGAGGAATCACTAAGCTCACCGTTACATCTCCACTTTGACCAGTCCAATAACAACAACAATCAGAGCTTAAACGCATTGCAAGAGAGCGGTGAACCTCCAGAGGCGTTCCTCTCATGCTCCCTACTTTTCCCACCAACCCAACAAAACCCACCTCAAACGAATACCCTGCATCAACCCGAAACCATCAATGACACCGAAAATTATGCAATCGGCGATATTGGAGAGTTAATTGAACTCTTGGGTTTGTCTAATTGTGAAGGAGGAGAGGAAGAAAGGGGTGATTGTTGTGGTGGTGGTAGCGGCATTGGTGGTGGTTCTTGTCGTTGTCAAGGCGGGTTTTATGAGAAGATTGTTGGGGTGAAGGGGCCGAAGTGTGGGAAAGAAGTGGAGAGGTTGGAGGGTTGGATTAAGTGCTTTATGAATGGTGGTGGGGAGGGGAGTATTGAACCTTTCAGGTTGGCACATTTGCTTTTGGGAAAAGCTGCTTTTGTTTCTGATGGTGCTGATCATGGTTTTGGAGGCTTGGAATTCCCTTCGACTGTTGGGGATTTTTTACTCAAAGATCCTCCCCCAACAGATTGATCAAGGCACCAAAACTCTACTCTTTATCTTATTCTCTGTCTTGAACTGTAAGAATTTCTGCATAAATCTGAATTTCTTAGCATAAAGTAGTTATGTAATTCGTTTTTCCTAACTGTTGTTTACATGTATTCATTATTTTATGGTTTATGCAACAATTAAGTGAAAGATCCAATCTTTCTTCATCAAATTCGGTTGTTTTTCAATCTTTCAACCCAATTTTCATTGGGAAATGTTCTTTTGGCATCCAAGTGACTGCTATACTTTAAATGGAATTTAATACATCAGAGTTCGATTCTACAAAACATTGTGAAACTTGAATATGTCTGTGGAACATATAAGAAGTTTATACGTTTCATTGCACAATAACTATTGCACGATGAGACAACGTTATTCTTCCTATCTTCCATCGCTGAAACTGATTCAACATTTATTGAACTGTGAAATATAATCACCATGGTGGTTGTACTATGTTTCCCTTTTCAGCTTCAGAAGGGTGGTCAACACCTCATTCATGTTAGGTCGGTTGTCAGGATCCGGGTTGGTGCAAAGCAAGGCTATCTTAAGTAGCTCTTCTGCAATTTTCTCCCCTTCCGTTGAGATATTTGAAGCTAGCATAGGGTCCAGAACTTGAAGAAGCGTCTTCGTTCCATTTGCAACGGATTTCTCCACAAGTTGAGACAAGCTCACTGGCAGCCCATTCTCTTCCATAAGTCCTGTTGGCCTTTTCTTTGTCAGCAGCTCCATCACTATTATACCAAAGCTGAATAAGTCGACCTTAGTTGTGATTTTCCTCATATATGCAAATTCTGCAGAGGCATGTTTTAAGCTGGTGAGTACCATGGAAAGTGATAACATTGTATTTTCAGACATATTAAAGTTGGAATTTAGAGCAAGACTAAGAAGGAGAAAGAGAGATGAATGTATTTGCTTTGAATATTAGTTTCTGAAATTGAAAAGAAAAGTCTGGTGTAAGTTGTTTCCAACTGATTGACTGCATATTTGCATGAACACTATCAGCATATAAAATATAAGCAATGGAGATGAGTTATAACTTTCATTGTTTAAAGTTGGAATTTAGGGTAAGACTAAAAAGGGTCACCTGGTGCCAGGTAGCCAATTGTTCCTTGGAAAGCTGATGCTGAGGAAAGGCTACTCCCGTCCTGGAGATGAACACCCAACATTCTAGCTGTCCCGAAATCACTCACATGGGCCACCCAGTCATCATCCAACAATATGTTAGAAGGCTTCAAGTCACAATGAACAATCGGAAAATCATAACCCGAATGCAGGTAATCCAATCCGCTTGCTATTGAAATTAAAATGTTGGTTCTCTCAGATAATGTGCATTTCCAATTATTCAACTCATCTTCATGTATAATGCTGTCCAGGTTCCCGTTCTTCATGTACGTCAGGACCAAGGCCTTTAACTTCATGCTCTCCCATGCATAACCGAGTACCTTCACCAAATTCCTATGCCGTAGTTGGGACAGTGTCTTGATTTCTCTATTGAAGCATTTATCAGACTCGACAGAGAACTGGTGCAGATTCAATCTCTTTATGGCTACCATCTGCCCGTCTTCTAGTTCACCCTTGTACACAGTGCTCAAATTGCTTGCACCTATAATATTATCTTTGCTGAAGCAACCGGTGGCAGTTTCTAAATCCTTTTGATCAAACCTCTTGAGGGTCAATGCTGAAGCATACTCATATTCTGGATCCTCAAGCTTTTCTGGTCTATGTGAGTTGGTGAAGCGGTGGAGAATGTGAATACTGAGCACTAGAACCAGAAGTAGAGAAGCAGATCCAAGCACCAACAGGATAAACTTGGTTTTCTTGGACAGCCGGTGTGAACTTTTTTTGCATATCTTGAGAAATTTGTTACCACAGAGATCTGGGTTCCCCATCAAGCTGGACACATTCATCTTTTTGAATATTCCACTGTCTGGAACATGGCCTTGAAGTCCATTGAAAGAGACATTTAAGTGCTTCAAGCTGGAAAGATTGGCAAAGTTCTCAGGGATAATGCCTCTCAGATGATTTTGAGAAAGGTCAAGGGAACTAAGATGCTTCAGATTTGATAACTTTTCCGGGATTTCACCATCTAAGTTGTTCCTTGAAAGATTCAAGCTTGTGAGGATGTCCATCTGGGCAAAAGGTTCAACTGGAATTGAACCAGAAAGTTTGTTCCCCGATAGATCAAAAGAGAACAAGTTCTTGCAGCCTTCTATTGTTCTGGGAATGATTCCAGAGAGATTATTGTTGGAAATGTCAATGGCTTGTACCATTTCCAACTTACCAAGCTCATCCGGAATGGTGCCATCCAAGAAATTGTATGAGAAGTTCAGATATATCTGCATGCTTCTCATGCTTGAGACCACTGATCCAGGAATGGATCCCGAGAGACGGTTGTGAGAGAGATCCAGGGTTGTCAGCCGATTAAGGCCAGCCATGCTTTTTGGAATGGAACCATTGAGCATATTATGCCCGAGGTTTAAGTATGAAAGCAACTCAAGTTTTGACACAGAATCTGGAATTGGACCCGTCAGTTTATTGTGTTGCAACTGAAGATTGGTTAGCTGTTTCAGTTTAAAAATTTCCTCAGGTATGGCTCCTTCTAAAGCATTGTCGTGCAGGGAAAGCCCTTGGAGCTGAGAGAGCTTAGATAACTGTGGTGGAACCGGACCCGAAAAGCTATTCTCAGCAAGTGAAAGGAGGATAAGTTGGCTTAATTGGCCAATTTCTGGTGGAATTGGCCCGACAAATGAATTTGAGATGGCATTAAAAAGCCTGAGATTTGAGAGTTTTCTAATTCCTGGTTTCAGCAAACCGCTAAAGTTGTTCATGGCCAAATCTAGAGTTTTTAGGCTTGTACAATTGAAGAGGTCATCTGGGATTTCTCCATACAACTTATTTGATCCAAACGAAAGGAAAGTAAGATTTGGTAACTGCCCCAGCCCCTGTGGAATTTTCCCTGTTATTCTGTTATAAGCTAAGCTTATAACTAAAAGATGTGTACAATTGGTGATACTTGATGGAATGGATCCCTCAAGAAAGTTGCTGTTCATGGTCAGGTTTTTCAGATTATAAAGCAACCCGATATTTGATGGAAGCTCCCCGGTTAGGAAATTGATGCCCATTGACAAATATGTTAGATTTGTCAGGCTTGTCAAGGATGAAGGGATCTCGCCGGTGAACTTGTTGGAATGCAGGGTCAGTACTTGCAATGATCTTAAAGATTCAATCTCGGCTGGTATTGTTCCGGTTAACTCATTCTGTGAAAGTCCTAAATGGGTTAACGACGTCAACTGAAAAATGGAAAGTGGGATTGTGGAATTTAGACCATTGTTGTACAATCTCAATGTTTCTAAGTGAAGCAAATCTCCAAGTTCAGAAGGAATGCCTCCGGTGAACTGATTGTCATAGAGTTCAAGATTAACAAGCTTCTTACAACGACCTAGTTCGCTAGGGATATTCCCGAAAAAGGAATTCTCAAGCAAGAGAAGCATTTCTAAATTTGACAAATTCCCTAGCTCTCTGGGCATTACACCTGACAACTGGTTTTGACTTAAATCTAGAGCTTCCAAAACTCTCAACCTACCAATGGAAGCAGGTATTGAGCCTACCAAGTTGTTGCGATACACCGCGAAGAGCTGAAGATTAACAAGATTTCCTATATTTGATGGGATTTTTCCGGTGAGATTATTAGAATTGGCACCAAACTGTGACAGGTTTTTGCAGTTGCAAATGCTCTCCGGGATGCTTCCAGTTAAAGAGTTATCACCTAAATCTAATGCCCGAAGATTTCCAAGGTTGCCTAGCTCTGGAGGAATTGGACCCGAAAGAGCATTTTGATACAAAATAAGTTCAGAGAGTTGGGAGCAAAGCCCCAGCTCAGCTGGAATATGTCCAGTGAATGAATTTAAAGTTAAATCAAAAACCTGGAGGCCTGAGATGTTTCCGAGGAACGGTGATATCTGACCGCTGAGCTGCTTGTCATACATGGAAATCGAAATGACACGATTTGTGGAAGGGCCACAGGCAACACCAGACCAATTGCAGTGATGGTTTGCATCTGTCCAGTCTGCAAGTGCTCTGTTGGGGTCGCCGTGGATCGATTTCTTGAATGCATGCAAGGCCTCAACTTCAACCTCCAAGCTTGGCTGAGCCGAATGAACAGTAAGTAGAGCAGAACAGAGTAAGACTACGACCAAACTTAATCTCTGAGACACCATTTTTGTAGCAGATAAGCTTTCAAGTGAGGATAATGCCTTTTATACACAAGCTTTTCGACTAATCATTGCCCCCCACGATTAATTAAGTGAACTTTGTTAAACTACATATGATCAAAGGAAGGAAGTAAAAAAGATTGTGATTCTTTGAATCATCAAAGAGAGTACAATTTGACTTTGAAGTTTGAACTCAACCCAGTAGGACCAAACCCTACCACCAACTTCTCTACTTGTACACTCAGAAAGTATATAAATCCGGAAAGGCTAGCTCACTACCACGCAAAATCTGAGATATTTCGCATGTTTACTTATCTGGAATTAACATTCGAATGATTACATATTTACTAGCACATAAGGGTTATAATTATTTTGATTCTCGACTCTTCACGTGTTTACCAACATATTTGAAATATTAAGTATATAGATTCTACAGTATAAACCGTAATTCATTACCTGAGTAAACATGCTCAAAATTTACCGACTTTCTAAATTCGCGATTTCCTTCGTTTCAAGTAAGTAAATACGGGAAACATTCATATCAAATTAAGCCCTAGTTTGGCTTAGCTTATCTTTTTATAAAAGTGGGTATGAAAAAAAGTTGGGACATTTTAGGTGTTTAGTAAACACTTAAAATCAGCTTATTTTCAAAATTATGAGTGAAAAAAAAGCTAAAAGTCCAAAGCTGGAAAAGGTAGCTTTCAAAAATCAGCTTATTTCAACAAAACATGGGTGAACAACAGTAACAAGTTAATGAATTTTTCAAAACCTTCTCATTTCTCATGCTTTCTTCCCCATTTTCCCCAGAACCCACTCGAAGACTTCCAAATTCCGAGACTTCTCTCTCACTCTCACTTCCCCTCTTTGTTTCAGAAAAAATCCTTCAGGTGTGAAGCCATCTCTTCAAAAAAAAAAAAAAAAAAAAAAATCCTTTATATTTTAAGCAAGTCTTTCTTTTTTTCTTGGTTCATTTAATTGTTTTCTGCTATTATACAGATCCTAAAACTTGATGAAAAGATTGGAGCTTTCAGCTTGCTACACCATATCTGAAAGAAACCATCCTTCCTCCCAGCGATCTCTCTCGTTCTCCAGGTCGCGCTTTCCGGCTCGGTGTCCTTCCTCTTTCACTCACTCTCCCATCCCCAAATTTCGTTATTTATTTGTTTGGATTTTTAAATTTGGAGATGGGAGAGTGAGTGAAAGAGGGGTGGGAAGAGCGAAGGGATGAGTGTATGGGTGTCGGGAAAAAAAAAGTTGGGGATAGAGGGTCGGGAAAAAATTAATTGGGGAAAAATTAGGGTTTGTGGAGGAAACAAGAAAAATTGAGAGAGAAGTAAGAAAAATTGATTACTTCTCTATTCATTTTTTTTTTCAGAAGGTCTGGAGGAAACATGTTTATAGTTGTTGATTACATTTTTTTAGATTAATTTCTTGTTTATCATTATCTGAATTGATCTGTGAACTGCTCTGAATTGATCTGCGAACTTTGCTTCTGATTTATCTTAGGGTTTAGGTATTCTGTATTGAAAAGGTGAGACCTTGAACCTCCCCTTAAGTGCATCAACGGTTCTTTTCCTTTTGTAGAAAAATGTTGTGAGAAGAAGGTTATATATCATTAGTAATTGTATGAATCATGATCACGAAAGGATAAAGCTCTGCTTCTGAATTAGTAAATGTTGTGAGAAGAAGGTTATATATAACTAGTAAATGTTGTGAAGTTTGCTTCTGAATTACTCCATGTGTATTTGTTGACCCTAAAAACTACCAAGCCTACGTGGCGTGCAGGCCGAGTAATCTATAAGCTAACTACATCATTTGGTTGAATGCAGGGCATGCCAACTCGTCGGCCGAGCTCGGCCTCGGAGTAAAATTTGTTGATGTTGCATTGGGTGCGTGACTGACTTCTGCGTCTAGCGATTGCGACCGAGGAAGGAACACGTCTTGGCCTGTTGGGTTCTCGAACCTGAAGACAAGGCTACTATTCTTACGAAGTTCACAAATTGTCCTCGTTGTCGGATTCGGTCACAGTGATGGTATTCGTCAGAGTAAACTCACGCCGAATAGACGCCAAGGTAAGGGCACAAATACTCAAAGTGAATATATGTCTTAACAATAAACGTGGTTCGGCCGTCGGAATGCCGAACTCTAAATCCCACTTGAGAGTTTCCAATCATAAACCAACTCGACGTGCAATGTGCCGAGCCTAATAAACTGTAACACCTCACTTCACCGAGAAGGCTAATGAGATGACCTCGACCAATAAGGATTCGGAAATCCTTCTCGACCGAGACTTGGATAGGTAACCAGTCACCCTCGATGTAGTGCTATCTATGCCGACTGAAGATGTTGCGAGACTGGCTGGTTCTACGGTGACAGTGCTATCTATGCTGACTGAAGATATCACCGGTTGCTTTCACAGTGCTGTTTATCCAAACTGAAGGTGTGTTGGCGAAAAAAGAAAAGGAAAAAGTCTCAAGGTTGTTGAGAGAATTTGCGCATGGCAGTTGTGTGTTGAATTGGAGGGGGCTTGAACGATGCACAACCTCTTCTATTTATAGCACCAGGCACTTTCTAGACCGAGTTAAAACCCTACTCGGATTAGGATTTCTTCTTCTCATCAAACACCATCTCGACCAGTCCTATTTTCACTATGACTTTGAACCTAGTCCTTTATCAAATCGGATTCACTTCTTATCCATATCTTGCCGAGACTCCTTATTGCGCCAGGATTCAATTACTCGTCTCACAGCATGACTTGACCGACCTATATTAGGAAGCCATGAACTAAATGATCCACATTAACCCTTTTTGTATGGCCTTCCGGGCCGAGAATACATCTCGGCCCAAACCAATATTTTGGGCCCAAACATTGCCCCTTCGCTTCTGAGGACTTTTCGGCTTGAAGTCTCTGGCCGAGCCCTGACCTTGAAGAAGCGACACGATACTTCATTTCCCGATGAGCATTTATGAAGCACGATTGCACGATCTTGAGCTCATCAGATATCTCGCCAAGTGTCATCTTCTTAGCCCGACCTGAAGTGTCCTTTCATCATTACCCGCTTGATCCGCGAGATTTTTTGAATTCCTCAAGACGTGCGAATGTCCAAACGTCTTCAAATTAATATACTTGTTGCCGCATGCCATCATATAATCTCGAGTTGCGAATCTTTCGGTACCTTCGAGATCGTGCGGACACCAAAACATCATTTCTTTATAAAATGACGCCGTCACGATATCATCATGACCCCTTAGTCTGCGAGTTTTTTAGTTCTTTCTCCTGGGTCTGTCAATATTCTCCATCACTCCATCATTATTAGCGATCTTCTCGATCACTATCCCCGTTTGGTTTTCCATTCCACGAGTCTATAAATACCTGGCCTTCTATCATTCATTCTTACGCTTTCAAATTTTCCAAACTCTATCTTGCTCAAAGATTAAAAGAAACCTCCTG